CAAAAACAAGGAAACTTGTATGACGAGACAAGAAATGAAAGGAAATAAAGGCTGTATAGAATCTTTATGTTCCTCTGAAAAAAAAATGGAACACAAACAATGGACACAAGGGTCCTGATATTCAGAAACGATACTGTACTCTACAAACAGATTTGGAAAACTGCTGTAGGCACCCTACTCTGTTCAGGCTTAATTATATTTCTTCTTATGGATAACTGATAAGGAAAGATGTATAGCGTGCCCACTCAGAGTGTCACACAGGCTGAATAGCCTGCATAAAAGTGTAAAGTGGTCAATGTCATTCACCCAAAGGCTCTGTGCAGATTTCACCATGTCAAACCTGTGCATTTTAAGATACACTGGAACTCTGCATACTCTAGGCACTGATGCAGAGTTCTCAAGTCTCTGACACACTGGCTGGCATACGTGTACTCTGCTGAGATTCTAGATCCTGCAGAGCTGGGGGTTTTCTGACATCTGAGTGCAATCCAGCACTTCCCAAGTAACTTAAAAGAGGCTTTCCAGACCTAACAACCACTGTGATTACTCTGATTTTATAGCTCACTTCTTCAGAGATATTAGTGGAAAGAGGGAGAGATTTCAGTTTTGGATAAGTTCCAGAAAACATACCAAAAAATGTTTCACTTTAGTTCATACAACCAATAAACACATATCATGAAAATAATGAACACCTAATAGTAAACACTTTCCTACTCAGGTTTCCTTCTTTTCTTGAGAATTTTGCATATAAAATCATATTCCTTTAAGGAACTCAGTGTTTTTGCTTTCTTCCACTTGGCTTCTCCAAACATAACCCCTATCGAAATTTAAAATTTCCATTTTCTTTTGTCTAGTGGTTTCCTAATCAGATTAATTAGATAATCGATGCTTTTGCTTATCCCACTCATATTTAAAATCCATTGATAGGTCAACCTGACAGAAGTTTAACTGCTTTGCCCATGCTCTGCATGGTATCTGTTTTATTGCTGGTACAGAAACATTGAAACTACATGACATTGCTGTGATTACCAGAGATGCTACTTTCCATTTTTAAAGTCTCAGGAAAGAAGCTGACCCCATAGATGACAATTTTATAGATTAAATAATATAAGATTAAACAGGCAAATTTTGTCACAAATATTACTTCGGAAAAGTAAAAATGGAGCTCTGTCAGATTCTCCATGCAGCATAGCTCTATGCCAGTTCTCTTCCCTGCAGGATACTGTTCACTCTTTAATGTATCAAAGAAATGGGGGGAGGGAGGAGGGAGGGAGGGGGTGATTGCTTTTTAACTTGAGCATTGATTGTGATTTTACATCAGTACGTGTCCTGTAAAATCTGCAGTAGTAAAGATGAGCACATTTCTAGCCTGCGAACATAAGCAGGCTGTGATACCATACTCATGCAGCCTCTTATGTTCAAATGTGCAGTTATCACTGGGTAGTCACAGGACAACAAACATCTGCGGTATCCCTCTTAAAAGGCAGATGAGGTCTGTGGGATGATTCTGTGAATCCCAAATTATTTCAAACTCTTCGTGGTCTTCCTCTGTATGAGCATGAATTCCCTAACATACCTGGACAGATCTAGGCTCTTAGCAACCGTTAGCTTCAAAGAGCAGCCAGCTCGACAAGTAACACTGCCCCAAAACTACGTCTGGCCATGAGGTTCCAAAAGGCTGAATTCAATTCAGATATTTAGAACCTTCTATATTCTTTAATTTCTGAAATAAATATTGAACTGCTCCCCCAAAACACTGTGTCGTTATCAGAATTGTAAAAGTATGGCATTTATTTAAACTACCAGTTTACGCTAACACACCTGTTGATAATCAGAGAAAAATTAAAACCAAGTCAAACCTTGGAAGAAGTTCATTTTTATTAATATACCACTTTGACTTTGGATTGTGAAACAGCTGCAGCTGTGGTTGTTCAGCCCTAGGTCTTCATGACGAGATGAAGACCAAAATGCAATTAAAGGGGTGGAGCAGAGAAAAAGAAGAAAAAAAATATAATTTGGGCATTGATAACAGTTCAAATATTCAAAAGTATGCTCATTAAATGAAACTGAATAAGTTGTCTCCAGAGTACATATATGGACATTTCAGGCCTGGGACTACCTGCAGTTAATCAGATGTTGCAACACCTTCCTCAAGCAATGTTTATGAATTGTACGAGTTTCATAGTGCTATTCTGTAATCAGACTAAAAATATTGTATTAAAATTTCCTAGAAAAGCATAAACTTGAAATGTGCATGTTTGAAATAGAATGAAATAGTCTCGGGAAGATTTTGATTCCTTTTAGACTGATATTTCTTCATGTGTCTTTGATTTCATGTAAGACTGGAATACTGCTGCCACTATAAAAACACACTCTGCTTTGCTCAGCTGTGTTGGCTAATGACATAACAATGTGTCTGATTAAGTGAGGTCATGGATATCTCAGGAGACGATTTTATAAATCAGATGTTACAACAAAATTATGGAAGGCAGGATGGTTGTCATACTAGATCATTACAGATAATAGAGATCACAAAAAATACTAGAGGATCAATAATGAACTCAAGCTGAACAGCAGAGCAAATCACATACAGCACGCAATAATTTTAGCTTTTAAAAAAATCTCTTCAGGCAACTTATTTTCCACCAAGACGCTCAGAACATAAACAGCTTATTGTAGCTTTTCGTCTGTTATCCCAGACACAAATAGGTCTGGCAAAAGACTAAACTGACATTACCTATTGCTTTTCATAAGCATCGTGATTGCCCTGGTTTCGGCTGGGATGGAGGTCATTTTCCTCCCAGTAGCTGCTGTTTTGGATTTAGTATGAGAAGAATGTTGATAACACTGATGCTTTCAGTTGTTGCTATGAAATCAAGGACTTTTTCCAGTTTCCCATATTCGACTGATGAGCAGGCGTGCAGGAGCTGGGAGGGAGCACAGTCAGACAGACAGCCAAGCTGGCCAGAAGAAATATTCCGTGCCGTAGACGTCAGGCTCAGTTTATGAACGGGGGTTGGCCGGGGGGCAGGAATCAGCTCTTCTCTTTGCCATGAATTCAAATTGTCTCTTGGATGGGAGTTCAAACTTTTCCAGGAGACCAGTCTTTTTGGGGAGTTTTGCAAAATTCACAAAATTCACAATTTTCCAGGTTCCGCTATCGCTGCTCAGAGACTGGCTGCAAATCGGTCATCATGTGGTGAGAAAAACTGTACTGTATATAGCTTGTTTTGCACATTCATATTATCATTATTATTATCAGCAGCAGTAGTAGTAGTAGTAGTAGTATTTCCTCTGTTGTCTTATCAAACTGTCTTTATCTCGACCCATGAGTTTCCCCTTTTGTCCATTTCTCGTCCCCATCCCGCTGTGGGGAAGAGGAGAGGTAAGTGAGCGGCTGTCTGCTGCTTAGTTGCCAGCTGCCGGGTTAAACTATGACAGTGATAAACAACCGTCCAGTTTGCTTTGCACACACCTGTAAGCATTAATGACAATTTTGCAAGGTTGGTTTAACAGCAATGATTAAAACTGCACGTAATTGAATTAAATGAGATAATGATTCATTGTAATCCATAATCATAAGCAGGGACAACTATGAAAATTATGTCTAAGTGAAAAGCATATTACACAAACAATATTATGAGTAATAGAAGTGGAAGAATAATAAAACATAAAGGGATACAAAGTTGTGCTTAAACCTTTTCTTGTTGATTTACCAAAATAATAATTCATATATTAATATTTTGTGTTATACATAACTCACTATTATAGCAGAACTATAGATAACTATCACTCACTATAACATAACTTACATACAAAGCAAAAAAACCCAAAACAAACCAGGTCAAGTATTTCAAAATAAATCTCCCAAAATTACTTGAGGGAAATTCTGAACTCCACTAAAAACTCTGCAACTCTCTGAAACTTGGGTTAACAGAGATTATAAATTTACTTTGTATTAAAAAAGAACAAAATTTAGTGCTGAGCATCACTATCCGCTATAAACTGATCTGTGTACAATGCACAAAACCTTCCAGTCTGCATAAAGCAATCTGAGAAACTTTCATAAATGGCTTGAGCTTATATTATAATTGGTTTAGCTGATTAGATCAACGATGACTGAGATGGGGTAATTATTCAGGTCATCAGTCCCATGAAAAGTGGTGTTTATGTGCTACAGAAATCCATCAGGCATGTAAGCTTTAATATTATCTGCACAAAATAATTTAGGCTGACCTTTTAGAGAAAGGGCTGCAACAGCCTAGTCACATACAAATTTATATTGGGAAAGTGACACAAAAAGCATTGGGAATTTAAATTAATTTTGTCTGACTGTTGCTTGGACAAAACCCTGCGTGCCTGGAGGGGGACAAGGGGAGAGATGCTGATTTTTCCAGGGAAAGCGATCAGACAAGTGCGAAAGAGTATTCAAGCAGGGACGGAGCAGCGGCGCGCAAAACTCTGTCTCCTCTGCAGAGGAACCCAGCAGCCCGAAGCACAATCTTCTATGCAAAAGCAAGCTTAAATGGCACTGCCCCTTCCAGTGCCTGAATACTGAAGGCACAAAATCGCCACCTTCACTTCACAGCATCACAGGCGCTCGCAGATTCATTTCCCAGCGTGAATTGCACCCCACTAGCTGAAAACACGGGCCAGTCCGCGGACACGCAGATGATAACGCACCATTTTTCCCCTCCATTTGGTGGGATGTGTTCCACTTCACTTACTTCATAAACACGTCTTGCATCAGTCAGGCCACATGTCTTTAAGTAAAGGTATAGCTTAGTATATGTATCATCTCTGCAAAAGTCCTTACTTAATCCATTCTAATCCAAATCTCCATGATCATCTCTAAAAATAGTCCCAGGGAAGTTCATTTTACTATGCCTGCAAAAGCTCGCATTACACAACAAAGAAAACCAGTGCCACTTGTGTAATAAATCAAACAAGAGGAAAAGGTAACAAAATTCGTGTGACTTTCCTTATTTACTAACACGTACGTTGTCTGAATTGGTTTCAGTGTCACTGGTGACATGAGCAGCTGGCAGGATCCTCAGGAAGCTGCTGCCAAGGGCCATAAGGGACACACAAGGCAAATAAACACACGCCGTGTAGCCAGAGATATTCCAGCGGGTGGGATATACAGGAAACAAATCCTTTTATCATATGGCAATACTGAGAGATGCTTATGAGGAATTAACCCTTCTCTATTTTTTTTTTTATATCAAGCCACATAATAAAAGCAAATAATTCAAAAGAAAATCAAAACCCTTGAGCTGATGGGGACTTGGGGGTTGCACGCTGTTCCACAGGAGGCTGGAACACGTCCCCAGCTCCCACGCTGCCCGACCTCCTCTCCCAGCGCCAGCCCTCTGGCTGCCTCTTGACACAGCTCCCTCCACCGAAGCTGTGGGGAGAGGATGACCAAAGAGTCAGACGATTGCATCTGCAACCACGGGAAGCCCGACAGGAGAAAAACTGGAGCGTTACACCAAAAACAGCAATCCTTTTTTCTCCTCCCTTCTGTGGGGAGTTCTCCTCATCTCCCCGTGAGGCAAACCCCGGGTGAGACAACACCTGGTTGCTGAGGAGCCCTTCACCGCACCCCGTCCCCGAGCGATGCTCCGGGAGCCGCAGGAGGATGCTTCTCCCTCACGCTCCCTTACCCGCGGCCTCTGCCGCCACCTCCCACCCCGGACCACGCCGTGCCCAAGGGGCTGGGGGGCTGCTGAAGCGCAGAAGGCGCTTTCTGTCTCTGTAGCCTGACCAACAGCCAGCGCTCGCCGGCACCTCCTCTCCCCAACGCCGGAGGAACGGGCTGTGTTGCTCCTCGCTGCATCACACCCTCTCGCCCACCTCTTTCGCTGCAGGAGGAGGGCAGCAGCGGAGGGCACTCAGGGTTACACCCAGCAGCGGACACAGCCCTGCAAAAGCGCATCTGCCGAGGGGCACGGTGTCCATTGCGCTGCAGGGCCTGGGCTGCACTGCCTGCTGTTTCACTGCCAGTTCCGATGACACTTGGTGATACTTCTATTAGAACAGTAGCAACCGGACTTGTGTTGTCACATGCAAAGCCTTTGATTGTTCCTTCTTCTCCGAACAGCGGCTGGAAACAAAGAACTGAAGACCTGAACGCATGGACAAGGGCTCGTAGCAGCTACAGCTGGCTCAGACATGTTTTAGCACTGAGGCGCGTGAGTCAGGAAGCATAATGCAATTCCACTGAAATATACATGTATATTGTAAAAAATGATTGCTCAGGATGTTAGCAGGTATACACATTCATGTCAAGATCAATTTTATTAAAATAATGTATTACTTTGCAGTGACAGCTGGTAAGACTGTATTAGGAATGTACTCGTCAGTCTGAGGTTTCCTCAGGAAGGAGAACTGCCTTTGTTAGCGACAGCAGACTGTTGTGCAGCAAAGCAATACACAGAATGAAGAAGCTTATATGGAAAGAGAGGAAACTGGGATCATTTTCCCACAACCGAAAAAAAAGAAGTGACATTTGATGTGGTCCAGTCAGTCCAAAATTAAACTTTGCAATGTATGTGAGGGATCTGGTCACAGCAGAAGTAAACAAGGTATAGTTTTAGAAAAGTAATATGTAAGGAATTTTTAAGGAAATACTGTTTAATTAAAATAACACATACTTAAAATGAACTGACAGGTCACCTAGTGAAGCTTATTGCCATTTTCCATACGTTAAAAGGTCAATGTCTCTGGATTCAATAACATGGGAAATCAGCCCAGGATACCATTTTGGGGGAAAGGTGCGCTGCTCTGCTTAGGGGGTGCCTGACTGTAAAGGACAAAAATACTGTGGGTAGACGGTAGGATAAGGAGCACGGTTTTCATCAGGTTAATTTTCATATTTTCAGTTTATTTAGACTGCCGTGTTGGATACAACTACGAAGTAGTCATGATCCCTGACAAATAATGCAGCCTTACTAATCCTAGCTTTCCTGTTTGTATAGCACATACTAATCAGTGTTAATACTGTCAAATGTTAGTGCTAAGTTTTGATAGTGTTGACAGTAATAACACATGATACATAGCAGCCAAATTTATACATCCCTTTTTGCTATGCCTGTTTTTCAAGATCCAGGCTAGATGTGGGTCACTCTTCTCTGGCTTAAAAGGAAGAGATATTTATATGAAAGAAATGAGAGGTCTGCCTTCGTAAAACAATGTAGATGATGTACTGAACTTTAATGGGGGGATCCTGATGGAAACCCAGAAGGCATTTCTACCACAAATCCCATGTCTGCACCTTAAGGTGCGCTAAACACCAGCAATCCAAAGCATTAACTGCAGAGGGCTGGGGGAGGCAACGTGACAGACTCCCACCGACGTCAGGATCCTGCCCCAACGAATGGTGAGTGGATTTTAATTTCATTTATTTGTCTTTCACTGGCTTGCTATGCAACGTCTCACAAGGCTTCCAAGGGACGTGAACCATCCTGTGAACAAGGATAATGTATTTCCAGATCCTTAAATGAACAGCACGTTCTTATGCTTTACTCGGAACACAGGTTTCCAGCTAGTGACAGATGTACAACAGCGAAGTGCTGACTTCTTCCTCCTGCGAGTATACGAGGCCGGGAGCGCCTGCTGCTCTGGCCAACTGCTGCGCAAAGCTGCAGTGGGTTTGGGAACCACTGAAAGAAAGCGAGTTTGTAAGAAGGATCAAAATGTACCTTTTGTGGAAATAATTATATGGAAAACATTTTGGAGCATCTCTTGATTGCCAGATTACTTCCAAATCCGATGTTACAATAATAGTCTTCCTAGCAATTCTATCACTGATTTTTTTTTTCTTTCAGAAAGCCAAACCCCCTAAGAGCTAAACAAAAGGACAGTCAAAGGTGGATCACCTAACAGCATAACTCAAACCTGGTGTGACTTGTATCCAGTGCACTCTCTCACCACTTCAGACCTTTGGGAACGTTCAGAAACCACTTTAGATCTGAACTCCAAGTCCTGAGCCTGACAGACACAACTGTTAGCTTCTCTGCTGGTCTTTAAATACATACATATCTTCACACACATTTAAGATAAAAAGGAGAGTTTGCAGCATTTTAAAAATATATTTTGTAGTGCACTCAGAAGCCCTGTGAAATGCATTTTGTGCACTGACATAACTTTGACAAAAGTACTTCCCTTGGCTTTAAGACATATGATTCAGCTCCTCTCTACGCGTTTAATAGATACATTTTCCCTTCTGTTATGTTCTGTCAGACATAGGCTGACTGGAGCTTAGATCTGTTGCAAGAGGCTAAACAGAGTGAATGCACAGGTTTTTTCAGGAGACCTCTCCAAAAGTAATGACTCACAAAATCTTTGTAAGCAATAACTTTCAATTTGACACTGGCTAAAAGATAAATGTACAACCTTCTACTCTGTCATAATTTATCATTGCATCTAATTTGTCTTTTCTATAAACAACACTTCAAAGGCTCCAGTGCCTTTTCACTGTGGAGTTCTCTGAAGAGACACAGCCAGCGATGAGCTTGCAAGCACCCTCTTGTGGCAATGAACTCCTGCAGCTGTATCAGGAAAGACCTTCCCAAGCAGTTTCAGTTCCTTTCCTCCAACTTTTGTAAATTCGTTTTGCTTGTGTTTCCCTGAGCCTCTCGGTTGTGGAATTGCACCAGACCCAAACCTTGTAAAGAAAGAGCCCAGGAAGAGGTCTGTCCACCAGTGGCTAATCTGCCACTGGGGGAAAAAAAAAAGGTCTATTGCCTCAAAAGAAAATCAACTTGATCAAGAAAAAAAACCATCAGGGTGAAAGCTCTTCCTTGCAGAGGTCCTGTGCTCACCAAGCAGAGCGGCTGCAAACCCTTCCTGGGACACCAGAGATGGGGGACTGCCTGGACGCTACACACAACGCTCCGTAATACCACACACAAAAGTACCAGCCTATTTCCTCACCCTTTGATCTAAAGCAGCTGTAAGAGCGATGAAAGCCCAGTCTCCATCTTAGCCTGCCATTTGACAGCAAGTTTCATAATGACAGCAATGGATAAGTAACACCCTCGTTGTCTTCCCATCCTCCCCTGTGCTCCGGCTTTTGAGCCTCCTTGCTTCTTTTTCTCTAACACATCTCTTCTGCTTCGGCAGGAGGGTTGGACTGGATGACCCACAGAGGTCCCTTCCAACCCCTACCATTCTGTGATTCTGTGATTCTGTGATCTAACAATAACCCTCCTTATTGATCTTGGGTCTTCTAATAATAAGCCTTGTTGATCCTGGGACTGATCTGAATGGAGTGGGAAACTGCAGTAAACTTTCTACACTGGTGAAAACAAAAAGAGTGGAGACCACCAGCTGCCCTTGTACAGCAGAAGGGCAAGTGATTCTCAGATGACAGAAATCTATTAGTATCGAGCCTACAGGATTCACTTTACGTACTTCACTCTAGATGTGTTATCACATAGCAACAGTCAGCATCCTCCTTTCAACCAAGAGGATAACATGGTAACAACAATAAGTAGTTGTTCATGAAAACACAAGCTAAATACTGATACTCAGGAAGAAATGTATGCTGAAATATTATTGGTAGGCATGAAGAAGGTTCTCCAGGTGTTATTATCCTACCTCTATCACGCAAAGCTCCCACTGATGGGATCTCACTAGCTTGTCTCTTCAGATGATCATCAATGAGAACAAGTAGCAGTGGTTCTTCAGATGTTAAAGCATCCAGGCTCTCGAAAGCCCTTATTATGCTTTCCACAATGAAAGAGCTTCCTTTATCTAGGATATGCATCTAGTATTACCTAGACTGGCTTCCATCTCAGTTATGCCCTTTCCTGGTTTTTCCCCAGCTCCAACAAGGCAAAAGATTTCTTTCAGTATAAGTAAGAAAAACGTCTCCTGCTTCTCCTTAGAAAATAAATGAACTTTTTAAGCATAGACGCATCTGTGGTGAACTGATGGGAGGTGTCTATTTTTCACTCAGAGACCTAAAGTGGATTTTCGTATGTATGGATTAGTGTCAACCCTCGTGATCCTAAAGGATCGCAATCCTGTAATCCCACAGCACCACGCAATGCAGCTACTGTGGAATATCACAGACGACCACGATGGGGGCAAAAACCTGGATTTTTGTAAGTATTACTCCTTCGATTCAGGCTTGTCAAACTCGGAGGAAAGTGCTGTGGTTCCTGACTCTTTCGCTAATTACTAGCGCTCCAGAAATTGCCCTGAAAAGTGGGTCTCCACAGAGACAGATTACTAACTGTCATTGGGTAAACACTGCCTTGGTAAATTCACACTCTCTGAACACTGGAGATTTTCAGATCTGGGTGAAAACGCTACCTTCAAAGTAAGCAATTTTCAAGTAATGCACAGTGAACTAGCATTGCTAATACTAAGAGTGTAAATTTTATGCCCAAGTTTCTCATGTTTTATAACTGTTAGAAACACTGATGAGTATGATCACATTTTAAGTTACAGCAGAACATGTGGATTATGTTTCAGATAGACGTTTCTAGTTTTTATGTAAACACGCTTTGGACAAGGGCAAAGACGGTTGCGCTTTTGTGACTGACACCTACAAGTGCTGAAGACCCTGTAAGGTTCATGGCTGGTTAGAGAGCAAGAACTAGCTCCTGCTATAAAAACATCAAACTACAGTCCTGTCTATTTTAGGAATAAAGTAACTGCTAGGCTGTATACAGCCATCGGAGAGGATATCCAGTGTGCCTCAGACGTGCCATTAAGGAATGGTTCCGTCCAGCAGGTTTAGCATCACCATGTGAAAAGTGCATCCGTTTCAACAAAAGGCAGAATTACATTTTTGAAAGATCAGAGAATAGCACTTTGCTGTATCAGGAACACTGCTGCTACTGGCTTGCAAGTCCTAGCAAGCAGCCTCACATTAATTTAGCATTGTATTTAGGGAATGGGCTCAGCCACAATGACGCTTATCTGCAAGAGGCCAGGCTGATTTTTCTTTGAGAAAACACTCACTGTGGCATTGAATTAATCTGTTCAGAGGGGGCCCTTTTTCCTCTGGTGGCTTGCTATTTTTTCTAGATTCAACTTTTTTAAAAATCCTGAAGAAGACAGTTCTAAAGCAATTTTTTTTTTTAAGTGTGCATTCCCATTTTAAATTTCTCTCTACTACTATCTCAATCAGCTAAATAAGGATTTTTCATCCACTGGAGCTGTAACAGGTATCAGTGTATGATCAAACAGTTCGGCAAAGCTGAAAATCATATTTAGAACATACAAGTGAGAGACAGTAGCATCAGCACTGTATCTGTCTCAAGTCAACTACAGTACTGCAGCTTGGGTTTAATAAGCAAATGCAGCACACACTCAGAATGCCATTACGTAGTGGCAAGAGCTGAGCGAGGCTCTACCTGCCACTGGTGCAGTCCTTCCTCTTCTGTGGAGGCTGTGACCACCCAGTTTATCTCAGCTGAGCGTCTAGCTCTGTGCAATACAGGCAGGGAGGCATTTCTGCCTCTGTGTTTGGATCTAAGAATCTCATCTTCCAATGAATACGCCCCATTTGTCTAAGTAATAAGGAAATGTAGGGAGGGATTGAACATTAAAATATTGTTGAATTTGAAGTAAAGAAGATAGAAATAAATATCTGAAAAAAAGACAGAGGAGTAATTTCACATTTATATTCAAAATGTCTGGAATTACTAGAGACTACGTGCCTTTGTAAAAAAGCTGCTAACTCAGTAACACAATATATCCACTTTACAGAACAGTTTCAGTGAAACAATCCAGAAACCCATCTTCTTCTACCTCATAAAATTGGATAATATTTGGGTAAACTGCAAAACAGCTTCTCTTGAGTCAGGACTCTAGGAATTCATATAAGCAATCTACTTTTTATTTTAATGACCTCTATCAATGAGAGAAATAGCAGACATTTAAAACACCTTTTGCTGAAAAGAAACATGCTACAAAAAAAGCAGGATGTATCAAACACATCTGATGGAGGTTTTCAGAGCTGTTTGCAGTGAGTTTGACATGTCTCCATGCCCCACAGCAGCTGAAGAATTGCAACAGTCTGGCACTAAGTCTTTCGGTACTCCAACACATTGCTTGACTGCAGGGTGGCATTTTTGTTGATACAAGCTCACTAATGAGGGCAGTATCTGAACATACTAAAGGACCTTTGAATGATGCTCCAGGCCCCTGGAGAGAAAAAAGGTAACTGCTTCATAGGGAATTTTCAATGTACATTTGGAAACTAAATCCTAAAAATAGGAATTTTTTTGTTTAACTGGCTGCAAGCCATACAGCTTCTAAAAGAAAATAAACCTGTTCTTATGCCCAAGACTCATCACAAAAGCTCTCTAATCTCTTCAGCTGAATATTAGTAAATAAATACCTTTATATAAAATAAAAGGATACCTGACACATTCCATCTCAGTATTGGCTGCCTGACACATTCCATGCCAGTTTGTGGCAGCTATTACTGTTCACAAAAAGACTATACCTTGTTGCATTCAATGCTGGCCAAACATCATAGCAATTATTGGACTAGCACTTTCATGTAACTAAGCATTTAGCCACAGCCATATTTTCCATTTCTTGAAAAAATTAGGAATTAGCAAACAGGCCTGCATGTCCATTAGCTGTCTGTGTTGCTGTCCAGGATTTTCGGTTTTTCTGTTACAGGAGGATACTTCCCATCAGCTCCGTACGGCATTAGGCCACACAAGTTGCCATGGTTGACCTGACACTATTAGAAAGCTCCATCTAAGCAAAAAGGCTGGCAAGCTCAGAAAACTGGAATTGTACTTTTACTGAAGGCATGAACAAAGGTACACGGACAACTGCAGAAACTGCTGTATCGTAAATGAAGACCATTGGTTGAAATGGACTTGGTTGCTTAGAGACACTTGTCCATTCTAATAGTATAGACATAACCTGTAAACACAATTTTCTTCATTTTTGTGGTTCCCAACTCCAAACCACAGGACCTTCCTAAGAGATGGGAGAAAAGAAACACATTTACCTTGAAAAATACTGCAAAGAATATTGCACTAATATTTGTGCAATTATTCTATTTCATAATTATGAAGAGCATGATAGAGAAGGAAACTCTCCAATCATTGAATAAGCACAGGGTAGTTAGCAGTAAACAGGAGTAATAAGAATAAAAAGCTGAGGTGAAGAGGTATTTATGCATTTAAAAGGAAGATAATACATGTTGGTGTAACTAAATATTCCATTATAAATGTGGCATTTTCTTCTTAGCAATGTATGACACTCTTAATGTAAATTTTCAGCTGTGCAGCCTTATTACATACATTACACTGAACAAAAAAAAATTACATTTCCATCCATAAATTAATAGCAGTCATTTTTATATAGTCCTTGTTCATTTAACAGTCACTCACAGGCCATACTCCTGGACAAATCAAGCAGCTTTGCTGGAGGTTGAGGCAAAACCAGAAGACTGGCATTTTTAGAGTTGATTGATGATTAAATACACCCAACAACAATCAAGATGGTAAAAAATCCATCTACAGCTTTTTGTCGTTTTGCTTCTTTTTGTTTCATCCTAACTGACTATGTGGAGCACTAGCTGTCCTCCATTAGCAGCAGATCTTGAAAAGCTTCCTTAAACCCATCTGTGGACCATCCAAGAACAGTAAATCTCAGCAGCTTTAAGCCTCCCAGCTCCACACAGAGCTCCCCACAGAGCTGAGCTGACACACACCAGCAGCACAAGACATGGCCAAAGCTTGCTCTTCTGTCGCCCCGTGGGTGGACACAGGACTTGAGAGCAACAAAGACTGTCCTTCGCTACCACCAAATCTACACAAGTGCTGTTTCTTCAGCCATAATCTTGAGAAGCACATGCATCGAGGCCTACCCTTTCTGTTCGGCGTTTTTTTAATCCCTCTAACGTGCATTTTATCTCCCAGTGCTGAACATCTCGTTTCCTAGGACTGACTCTCCCTCCTCGCTCTTTTGCCAAAGAAATGTACAACTAACACTTTCAGTTCTGGAAAGCTAAGAAGTGAGCCTCTGAGCCCTTTATTTCACAGAGAACTTTCCGCTTGCTACAGAAGTCCACCAGACTGTGCCCAACACCACCAAGCGAGGACCAAAAACCCGTTCCACACCTCAGGATGGACAGACAGGTCAGATGAAACAGCATCAGCTACACGATGGCAATGACTCATACAGGAGCAGTAAACTGAAGGAGATATGCACCTTAATGATTTCAAAGACAACTCTTTTTCAGGTTATGATCCTTTCTATTTTTGAGTCGGGGGTTTTCTTCTCCCTCCTTAAAAAAAGTATGTGCTAACTCACCCTACTCAGCTGGATACTAGAAAGCACAGGGAGGAAATATCAAGGTCTTGCCTGTATTGGAAGTCTGACAACTTATAATTTCCTTGTCTTTTTAAGTTCACGCACAAGGAAAATGGCTTTTACACCCAGATTTGAAAATTACTGGTTTAATAGCATTTTACTTTCCATATATCTTTCTTCATTCGTATTAACTGGTTTGTGGTATGAGGAACCTTATCAGTACGTGCTTTCTGCGTCAGGTATCTCTGGCTTAAATATTTGCATAAGAACAAAAACTCCAGTAAGCTTAGAGAGATTAAAAATCTTTTCAGATACTATACAAACAATTTTCTGACTGATTTCTGTTTTTTCTATCACTTCTATTGAAATTTTCATCACTCTTTTGAAATGCCCTGATCGCTGGGATAGTCTATGAAGCTGTTGTATTCCACTAGTTTTTATTTTTAAGTCAACAGGAATTAAGGTGGCTTA